CTCCCTGTGACATGTGCATGTCTCTATGTGTGTGCACACTGGGGAAGCTACCACTCAGCATTTTAGAATGAAAATTAACCTGCTGTATAATAGGTTGTCTGAATCCTCCTGAAAGCAGGACGGTCGTGTGTATGTACCATCAAGGCTTTAATGAATAACTGGGTCTGTTAAGGTGCAACAAGTTAGCCACTTTTGTGACAGTGTGCTTAGAATCACACAAGGTGCCTTTGTCTAGTTTATTCTCTAAAGTTAGAAGATGGGGGGGGTGTCCGTTTACTTTCTGATCATTAACAGCAGCACAGACGAGTTCGACAGATGATTTTGCTGCTGCCATGACAACTTTGACCACTAAAAGTATATCATTGTGTTCAGGATCAGAGGTACAGTACATAAAACCTTTATGGAGAAGTTAAAAATGTCAACTTAGTGCAGATGTGTGCAACATTTACTTTGAATCTCTGGTGATTTTCCAAGAAACTGTTGGTTTAAGTTTAATCTTCACCTGCTGTGGTTAAATGCCTGGGAACAAGAAGGTCTTTATTAAAGTGTTGCTTGGCACACAGTCCTGTAATTTTTTTTGGAGAAAGTGGTAGGTGCCTTGTTGACACTGCTTGTTATCAGGAAAGGTGCTTTTAACCGATTGAGCACTGAAATGGGAAGCGAGAAGTAGCAGTGTCACAGGATTTGACAGACCCCTTGCAGTGGGTTTCCACCATACGACAAACTAATAAAGTCCCTCTTGTACTGCATTTCTGCAGACTTCTGTCACAGACTCTAGCTCTGCAAGCAAACCTCCATTCAGTTGATAGTGTGCTCAGTTGCAGCACTCAGGTGTGGATCGTGTCTCTCTCCTGTTTGTTTCAGCCTGCTGCTGAAGGCTGGCATCGACATCAACAAGGCCACCAAGTCTGGGACGGCTCTGCACGAAGCTTCTCTGTACGGGAAAACAGAAGTGGTCAGGCTTCTGCTGGACGTGAGTTCATCTGAGATTCTACCCTCAGAATGTCCACAGCTGTTTCCTCACACACCTCAGTGAAAACCTCACAGTCAGTTTTAACATTACAACACTGAGTTCACAACAGGTTCCTCTCAGTAGGTAGCACTTATGTGTTGATAAAACTTATGTTGATCTGGGTGGCTTTACGATTCATACAAGACATGTTTGCTTTGTCCCTTTTGTAGTAAGTATATGGTATGAAGAGAATCTTTAGGAGACAGGGTTGCAGTGTTTTACCCATAGTGGTATTTTGTCCCATACCACTGCAGCAACACTTCCCATTTGAGTTCACTGCTGATGTACGATCAGAACAGCCACTAACTAAACCCCGGAGGCCATACTGCAGAGACGTTTTTTCTATGAAAGAGACAGATTGCAGAACAAAATGTATAGAAGACGGTAAATGTTGTTGTCGGTGTCTACTGTCCTTTGTCCTTGCAGGCCAGCGTGGACGTGAATATCCGAAATAATTACAACCAGACGGCGCTGGACATTGTCAACCAGTTCACCACCTCCCATGCCAGCAAGGACATCAAGCAGCTGCTCCGA